TCAGCAAAAGGTACCCGAGACTCTCGTCCCTGCTCTTTCCATTTCCTTTTCTGCCTCTCCCACCGGAAACCTTCCTTCACCCCAGAGCTTCCCTGCCTCTATTTCTCATCCTGGCAATACCTCCTGGCCTTTGAAGACTTGGCTCAAGGCATACCTTCCCTAAGAAGTCTTCCCCAGTTGGTTGGGTAGCCTCTCCCCTGGCACTTGTCACCCTGTATTGCAATCAAGGCTGGCTAGACATTGGGCACCGGGAGCACAGTGCCTAGAGCCCTTGATAATCTTAGGGGCTCATGAAAATATTTTAACTTATTTAAAAATCAGAAGAAAAAAAGAACTTTAAGGGTCAAAGAAAGTGTGTTATTTTTTCTCACATCAGGAAAAAAACCTGTAGGGCCCATAAAAATCCATTAAATCATTTTTCCTTTCCTTTTTCTTTTTTTTTTAAAGGAAGATGCCCATGGAGGTAAAAGTACCTAGGACCCATGAAAAGTCTTAATGTGACCCTGACTGCCATTGTCCACCCAGTAGACTGAGAGTTCCTAGGAAGTGGGGAATGGAACCTCCCAGAGCTGTGCTATGTAATCTTTAAACCTCTGTATCCCTAGCCCAGTGCTATGTACTCAGGACTGGCTCAGTCAATGCTTTCTGAATAAGTGGATAAGTAAATGAATGAATGGACTTGAGTGAGACTCTTGACTCTGAGTCTCCATTTCTTCATCTGCAAAGCAAAGCTTCATCTTTGTAGGGTGGCTGTGAGGATCAGCTGGTGAGTGGAAGATGCCTTGGACCTGTGGAGCTTGGAGCGGGTCCTGAAGCTACGCAGGATGTGAGCAAGGAGAGGAGCCAGAGGTTGTTAAAAATGGCTCTAGGTGGTGTCCATACCTTTTTGTTGGTAACAAGCAAAATTATCCTATTTATACACAGAGAAAAAGAACTGGAAGGACATTTACCAAAAGTGTCTCTCAGTGGCCAGCTCTGAACTTGGGTTGTTTTTGTAATTGTTTAAAAAACATACTTAGGAACATGTGAAGGCCAGGTCTGTGTCTTATTTTCCTTTTGTGTCCCTGACCGGGCATAGGTGAAGGACATATGAATAAGGGAATCCCCCATCTCATGGTCCCATCTGGCACCACATCAGCACCAGGGCCCCTGGTGGGCACCCAAGTGGGTGGAGTGCAGCAAGGCCAGTAGTGGAGAGAGCAGAGCTGTAGGACTGAGACTCTGTTTACCCAGGGTGATGTGTCTCACAGGCCACCATGGGGACTGAGGAAGAGATGCGACACCATCTCCAATGGGACAGACACCTTTTAGACACTTCAAAAACTTTAGTTCCTGGCCCCTCTTCACGAACACTTAGGAAAGCAGGCTTCCTGTGTCCCAAGTAATTTAATATTTCCCATGGCTCCCCAAGGACTGGAATCGTTTCCTTTTTATAAGCTGTGGGTGCTAAGTCAGAAACAGTATCAGATTCGTGCACCTTGCTCACTGCTGTCTGCCCAGCGCCTGGGAGCATGCTGGCACACAATAGGTGTAGAGTGAGCAAATGAATGTGTCAAGAGTGACTTCTTTAACGGGTTGCTGGGCACCTCCCCGAAGAAGAGAATAAAACCCACCTCTAAATAATGAGACCCTGTATGGCCTCCCGTACCCTGTAATTTGGATCTCTAGGAATCGCCTTTGTTGTGGGCGACCAACCACAAGCACAGAAAGCACCTGCTTCTCCAGCCGGTCCTCGAGGAAGGACCCCAGGCTGCCGTGCCGCTAGCTTCTTCTCCAGGTCCCTTCTCTCCGCTTCTTGGGACCTGGGGCTTCCGAGGCATGCCGGGGCTCGCAACCAGGGTCCGCCCCAGAGCTGCCCAGCCGTGGTGGCGCGGGTCCCCAGGTGCCCGACTCCCCGCCCGCGGACAGCGTTCTTCCCTTCCTCGTGCGGGGCAGAGGGTCCGGGACCGCGTCTAGGGCCTCGTGTCGCACCCCCAGGCCTGCGGGGGCAGAAGCCTGAGTCACGGAGGCGCACGCCCTCCCCTCTCGGCTTCCATCCTGGGGCCACCTCCGCCCGGCAGCGTCGGGCCCCGGCGCAGCCCGCTCTCCGCGGTCTACTGCGCGCCCCCTCTCCTGGGCCTGAGTCTCCGCGGCCGCGGTCCCCGCCCCGGCCAGCTCCGGGGGAGCTTGGCCCGTCCGCCCTCCAATGCTGAAGGCCGAGCTCCCAGCGCTCCCGGGCGGCTCCCGCGGGAGGGGGCGCGGCCGCCCCCGCGGCTCCACCCTCTCTGCAGGGACTCGGCCATCTGGGGCCCCTGCCAGTCGTGTCCGCTCTGGGGCCCGCGCCTAGCTCACGCGGGAGGAGGCAGTCCCTGGCAGGGACCGGGGCCTCCCCACCGGGCGACCCCCTTGCCAGCGCCGGTGCGGGAAGCCGGGCGCTTAGATGCCCCGAGGGGGCAGTGGCTGCGAGCCGAGCTTGGGTGGAAGCGCGTCGCAACGGACGCGGCGCCCCTGGCCGCCTCGGTGACCCTTCAGGAGCAGGGACCCGAGCCCCGGAGGCGGCGGCGCGGGCCCGCGAGGACGGCGAGGTCCGTGCTCCTAACGTCCGCGGCGGGCGAAGGCTGCAGAGCCTTGGTCGGGCTGGTCGCCTCATGCCTCTCCCCCCAGCCCCCCGCGAGCTGGCAGGAGGAAATAGCGCGCGGCCCCTTTAAATTTACCCAGGAGCCCTTAAAGGAGCCCCAGGGGCCCCAGACAGGAATCCCCACCCCGGTCCAGCCCGCGCCGCCGAGCTAGCAGTCAGCCGTCCGTGCGGCCGGCCGCCCAGTGCATGCGCCCCGCGCTCCGGGGCCCCGCGCACCGAGCGCCGCGCGCGGGCCGCCGCCGGCCCCGCGGCCCCGCGGCCTGCCGCCCCGGGGCCCCGCTCCGCAGCGCAGCGCATGGAGCCTGGCGGGGACCACCGGAG